TGCTCCTGCGATCTCGCTTCTGCGGAGCACAGACCGCTCATGCGGTCCAGCATCAAAGGCCCAGATTCTGCATTTGCGGTGCCTCCTTCGCTTCTGTGTATGCGCATATGTGCGCCCAAACTCTGCACCTATGGCCCTTCGCCCAGCTGGCCTCTTTTGCTTCTGCGATGACCTCCATCATGCCTGCATGTCCGCACCTATGACCAAACCACCGCAGGTGCAACGACACCAGATTTCAGTAGTTTCCAGCATTTCCTCAAATTCAAATTTCAATCTGATTTCAATCCGTTTCAAACCTGAGGCCGCCGGGACCCCATACGAACATACCAACACATCCCAAATCATGATTCGAATTTATTCGAAGCCTCAAATCACGTCGAACAATATCAAAATTACAAATCGATGACCGAAACCTTTCTTTAATCTTTCAAACTTTCGATCTTCGTCGAACGCGTCCGAATTAAACTTAAACATTCCGGAATAACGCCAAACTTTATGCATAAGCCAAAAATCATGATACGAACTTATTCCAAGGCTCAGAATCCCAAACGGACAACGATGACACCAAAGTCCACTTCAAACCAAACTTAGGAATATCTAAAACCTTCAAAATGCTAACTTCCATAATACGCGCCGAAATGCTCCTGGGCCACCCGATACTCAACCTGAACATACGCCCAAGTCCAAAATCATCATACAAGCCTGTTGGAACCTTCAAATATCAATTATGAGGTCATTTACTCAAAAGTCAAACCTTAGTCAACTCTTCCAACTTAAAGCTTTCGAATTTAGAATTTTCTTTCCAAATCAACTCCGAACTTCCCAAAATGCAATTCCGACCACACGTACAAGTCATAAAACATGAAGTCACACTACTTAAGGCCTCAAACCACCAAACGACATGCTAGAGCTCAAAACGATCGGTCGGGTCGTTACAGACTTCTTAGATAACGGGTTCAGATTTTGATGTTAAAACTTGAAATAGTTCCATATTTCTTTTTAGAACTTGTCTGCAAAATTTGGTTAAATTCAAAATTTATTTGACATGATTCGGATGCTTAAACGTGATTCTAGTGTTCTTGAGTTTCACTTTGGAAGTTCATTCATTTTGAGGATTGATTAGTAGATTTAGATTTTATTTTGGTGATTTGATTATACGAGCAAACTCGTATGATGTTATTACACTTATGTGCATATTTGGTTTGGACCCCAAGGGGCTCGGGTGAGTTTCGGATGAGTTTTGCAATACGATAAGTCTGTTGGTGCAATTGCAAGCCTCGCTTTTGCGAATAATTATTTGCATTTGCGAGTATGGAATGGGATGGGTGAAACTCGTATTTGTGAGAAGTAGTTTGCATTTGCGAACAGCGGACCTTCGCATTTGCGAAGGATGTGGTCGCAATTGCGATCACTGACCACTAGTGTACTGCTTCGCATTTTTGAAGCTAAGGGTTGCATTTGCGATAGTTTTGGGTTCGCATTTGCGACCTCAATGTCGCATTTGCGACTTTTGCTCTCCAGTTACAAGGTTCGCAATTGCGACCCTTGTCTAGCATTTGTGATGTTCGTAATTACGAACAAAACGTCACAATTGAGGCATCTGCAGCTGGGTAAAAGAGGGGAAAATGGGACTTAGCTCATTTCTCACAATTTTTCAACCCTAAACACCCTAGAGGCGATTTTTCAAGAGTCTCTTCTTCCTAAATTCATGGTAGAAATTAGAGAGTTGGGTAGAATTGGGAATTTTTATAAAATTGAGATTTAGACCTCGAATTGAGGTCGGATTTCAAAACAAATCGCATAACTGGGCTCAATGGTTGAATGGGTGATCGGGTTTTGGTCTGAATTTCGATTTTGACCAAGCGGGCCCTGGGTTAATTTTTGTTGACTTTTTTAAAAAATGATCTAAATTAAACCTCTTCCATTTGTGGGTAATTTTTAAAGCTTATTTTGGATCATTTGGTGAATAATTTGCTAAATTTGGTTGGTTTAGAGACTTGTTCAAAAGGCAAAGCTGTGGTTGAGTGATTGCTTGAGTTATGAAGCGAGGTAATTGTTGGGTCTAACCTTGATTTGAGGGAATTAGGAACCCTTAAATTATATGTTATGTGAATTATGTGTGAAATGGCATATATGCGAGGTGACGAGTGTATATACGCCGTCAAAATAATTGTTTCCATATTTTTCTTGTATTTAATGAATTATCTCACTCTATGCCTTAACTGTTACATGCTTTAAATGCTTTCTATGCCGTAATTTATTACTTATCATTAATTATTCTTGTATTAAATTTTTCGTTCCTTCCATGACTCAGTGATTAATTTCTAATTGCCTTAGTTATCTTAGTTGCACACCTTAATTGTCACGTACTTGACTTGTCTTGTTGCTTTTGTATTATTTGTAGCATTCCTTTGATTAGTACATGGTTCCTTTATTACGTTGCTTTCATATTCCTTAATTGTAGAGATTCTAATAAATTGAGCTATTGGATTGATTACATTTATTGAAAATATTTATGCATCGGGTTGCATGCCGCAATGGTTGTGATATGGTGTAATAAGGGAGGATTTTGATATTGATTATAATGATATGGTGGGATCGGGATGTGCATCGCAATGGTTGTGTACGTAATACTTGATATTGATAAATTTTGACATGGTGAAATAAGGGAGGATTGTGACATTGATTATGATGATATGGTGGGATCGGGTTGCGCGTCAGAACGAATTTTATATGTGATTCTTGATATTGATAAATGATACTATGGTAAAATAAGGGAGGATTGCGTGTGTACGGTCGGATCGGGTTGCACGCCACAATGGATTGTATATGCTGTATTCGTTGTTGTTATTGTGTTGGTTTCCAGCATTGTTACATGAAATTATGAGATCTGTTATTCCGGGTTCTCTGATTGCAAGGATTGAGTTATTGTTCAAAAATTAATTGCCTTACTTTCATTTCCTATTTTCCTTCCATGTTGTTGTTGTTATTGTTATTGTTATTATTATTATTATTATTATTATTATTATTATTATTATTATAATACTGCGTACGGGTTATTATAAGTGGCCCACCTTAGCCTCATCACTACCTTGTCGAGGTTAGGCTCGACACTTATAGAGTACATGGGGTCGGTTGTACTCATACTATACTCTGCACTTCTTGTGTAGATTTCGGAGTGGGTCCTAGCGGCATTCAGTAGATTTTCTCGAATTCAGTTCTTGACGGAGACTTGAGGTATAACTGCACAATGTTCGCAGCCCTAAAGTCCCTTTCTACATTACCTTAGCTGTTTATTTCGATTCAGATAGTTTTGCTTTTATTCAGACTATTATTTGTAGTACTCTAGACGCTCGTGTATTGTGACATCAATTTTGAGATTGTATTTGGATATCGTCGTTTATTGGTTTATTTATTTTATTTCAGCTTATTCAGCTTATTGGTTTTTATTTGACTTGAATTGTAAAAAAATGGTTAATAACTAAATCTAACGTTAGTTTGCCTTGCAAGTGAAACGTTAGGCGTCATCACGGTCCCAAGGGTGGGAATTTCGGGTCGTGATACAAACAGATTTTGGCAAAATAATTTGGAAAAAACTTGACAAAATCTATGGCTAAACGGGGCCTTAGCATTTTCTTGAGCCAAAACTAAAGAGAAAATAAATAGGAATTCAGAAAACGAAATACAAACTTATGGGGTTCTGCCATCCAATTCTTTACAGATGGGACTCATTTTATGGGAAAACATGGCAAACTGATATTACTATAGTTATGTTGTTACGAACTTCTGGTACCATAGCTGTCTAACTTCATTTAAAAGTTATTCCCACGAATAATGCAACTTTCTGGTGTTTGACTCTTTGGATTGAGAAATGAATAGTAAGAGCAAATCCTTCTAAAAGATGAAAACAACAGTCGATGTGGAAGTTTATCTATCACTTATAAAATAAATCATTCATAAGCTCTAATTAATTAATATTTGTTGTACACCAGAAAAAGAGGAAGGGACCTGTCCAGTCTCCACCATAGTGTGAATGTGTAAATAGGTCAACGTGGATCCCGGAACCAAAATATTAATCTTTTGGACTCAAAGAACCATAATATGTGGGAAACAAAATTAGGCATCATAATATGTATAGCGTGATTGTTATTAACCATTTTTTTCCAAATTATTTTGCCATAGATCTGTAATATTTTGCCCATTTACTGTGGTATATGTTTTTTCGTGATTGTTTTGTGATTAAACTAATTTATTATTTTTATCTGGTTTAGATTATTTATTTGCTAAAAGACTAGTAAAATAGATAAATTATTATTTTTAGAATAATTAATCTTATTTAGATGTTATTGTTGTATATATATGAATATGTGACTTTAGTTTCCTGTAGTGCTCGTATTTGTAATGTAGTGCATATTTAGAGTAATAAAATATAGTGCCCTTTTAGCGTAGCAACTTTGTAGTTATTGAAATTAATCATTTAATTATCTGTTAAACCCAAAAATATTTGAAAAAAGTTGATAGCTCAAACACAAACTCTCTCGAATTCTAGTCAACAAACATAAGAAAATAACATTAGAAAACAACAATATTTGTCAAACTAAGTATTATTATATGAATATTTAATAATTAAATCCTGTATAGTTAGAAAAATTAATTATTTAATTTTATTATAGTAAAAAATAGGTGAGTAACAAACAAACATATAAAATAATAAACTAATAAATAAAATAAGAAACAAACATATAAAATAAGAAACTAACATATTAAATATTAAACAAACATATAAAGTCGTAAACTAGCATATAAAATAATAAAGTAACATATAAAATAATAAACTAATATATAAAATACAAAATTCTAATATAGAAAATATATCAACCTAATATAGTAAAAATATCGAATAAAGTTTAATATTAAAGATATTGTAATATATTTAAAGATGTTAAGCAATTAAAAAGAAAAATACTTTAACTAATATTGTTCAATTTACAGTCATCATCATGGAGGTTCTGCCTGTGCATCCCGGACCTGCATCGCTAGAGCTACTGTTGCTACAGGCCGAGCATAGGTCTTCATATGTATGGGATGGGCAGCGTTTCTCCCAGACATTCCGCGCCAGACATATAGACGATATGTGGGAGTTCATTGGGGCCCACTCACTCCATCCCCGTATAGTTAGACGCCTTCAGGATACGGGTTTCTACAGGATTATAGAGATCGGTCGGTTGCAGTTCGACTGGGCGTTGATCACGGCTATGATAGAGCTGTGGCGACCGGAGACACACACGTTTCATCTACCCATCGGCGAGGCTACTATCACACTTAAGGACGTGGAGGTTCTTTTTGGTCTGCCGGTTGATGGACTACCTGTAGCTTACCCGCATGCTCTTAGAGAATATACGGGATTGCATTACATGCAGATGTTGCAACGACTCACCGGTTTCCAGCCAGCGGAGGAGACTGCATTGAGTGGAGCCTTATAACGTTAACCTATCATTCCGTAATTAATATTTTACATGGTGTTCAGGCTATTGGCTTACATCTATTCTACCAGTTAGGACTGCAGATGCAATAACATACCGGCGAGAGAGCGACATCTTTGCACGTGGATGGTTGGCAGGTTACAGATCTGGCTACCCGGACATTGAGGCGAGCCCGAGATGACAAGCGCTTAGGACATAAGGCTGATTATCTGCCGCTAGAGCAGTACCATCGTGTCCCACGAGGTCGTAGGGGTCGGCGAGGACGTGGTCCCCAACAAGGGGGCGTCAGCCACCTATTGAGGATTTTGGAGTTGATCAACCGGGGGACCACCCTAAGCCAGACGATGCTCCTCATGATATGCCATCATTCAGCCTTTAGCTGACACCAGGGACTTCGCAGGTAACCACCTTCAACTCCATTGTTGATTGCGGGCACGACCATTACGTGATAGGAGTGGGATCAGTATTTTCTTGGTCTCCTAGAGCCATCAGCGGTTGTTGATGATCGTTCGACACGAGATGCGCATAGTGGGCGCCGACTGAGTTATGGGTCATCATCGAGGGATGCTGAGGATCTTTCATAGGCCCAGGTTTGTTTGTATTACTATTATTGATATTTGTTTTTATCTCATTGATTAGTAATCAATATCTAAAGCGTTTTTATTTTTTTTTAAAGACATCATCCTCGCCCGTCACTGTAACGACTCAGCCGGTCATTTTGAGAACTTAAGTCTCATTCAGCGGCATAATGCCCTGAGCAGCTTCATATTATGTGTATTGACTTGCGTGCGTGATTGAATTAAGTTACCAGATGATTCAGAGTGATTTGGGACACTTAGTCCCTAAAACAGAAGTTTAAGTCTTAGGATTTTGACCGTAGTTGGAACTATGTGAATACGACTCCGGATACCATTAGCTCCGTTGGGTGATTTTGGGCTTAGGAGTGTGTCCGGATTGTAAATCCGAGGTCTGTAGCTGATTTAGGCTTGAAATGGCGAAAGTCGAATTTTTGGAGATTTGGACCAGAAGTGGACTTTTTGATATCGGGGTCAGAATGCGATTCAAAGAGTTGGAATAGCTCCGTTATGTTATTTGGGACTTGCCTGCAAAATTTGACGTCATTCCGGATTGATTTGATAGGTTTTGGCACGAGTTTTAGAAGTTGAAAGATTTGAAATTTACAAGTTCGATTCATGGTGCGATTCATGGTTCGACATTATTTGAAGTGACTTTAAGGCTCGACTAAGTTCCTATGGTGTATTAGGATTGGTTGGTATGTTTGGTTGAGGTCCCAGGGGCCTCGGGTGAGTTTCGGGTGCTTAACGGATTAAAAGTTTGATTTGTGTTACTGCTAAGTATTCAGGCTTCTGGTATTTTTGCACCTACGAAGAAGAAATTGCAGGTGCGAGAGCGCACGTACGGAGAGGCAAGCGCAGAAGCGGAAAAATGGAGGAGTGCCAGGGGTCGCAGGGGCGAGGAAAATTCTGCATCTGCGATGCCCGCATATGCGAAGATTGTGGCGCAGGTGCGAGAAGAGCTGGACTTGATAGTCTCTGCAGGTGCGGAGAAATTGTGCGCATCAGCGGCTCCGTAGAAGCGGATTTTTGGCGTGCAGAAGCGAGAGAAAGCGCAGGTGCGGTTGGACATGCGCACTTGCGGTCGCGTAGATGCGGCTATTTATGCGCAGGTGCGGTCACGCCTGGGCAGAAAAGAGAAATTCGAGGGTTTGGTTTCATTCTTCGTTTTTGGACATGAGAGCTCGGAATTTGGCGATTGTTCGAGGGTTTTTCAGAGGAAACTTTGAGGTAATGATTCCTAACTCATTTTTGGTTATTTTCCATTAATCCATAGTTGTTTTCTCCATTTAGTTTTGGGTTTGGATTAAAAATTTAGGAAAAATGGGAAGAAGTTCTTCAACTAAGAGTTTTGAGTTTTGATTGGGATTTAGACATCGGATTTGGATAATTTTGGTATGAGTGAACTCGCGAGTGAATGGGTGTTCATATTTTGTGACTTTTATCCGATTCTGAGACGTGGGCCTGGTCGACTTTTTAGGGCGAATTTCGGAATTTTTATTAAATATTGATTTCATTGATTAGATAAGTTTATTATTGTTGTATTCATGTTATGAAATTGTATTTGGTTAGATTTGGGCCATTCGGAGTCGGATAATTGAGGAAAGGACATTCTTACGGACTGTTTGAGCTTGGTTCGAGGTAAGTATCTGGCCTAACCTTGTGTGGAGGATTTTTTCCTTAGGATTTGAGTCTTCTATGTTGATTTGTAGTCCATGCACGCGAGGTGACGAGTGCGTGCTCGGACTTATTTGTGAAAAATTGGCCTTTTAGGATTCTTAAGTCCTTATATTCACTGAGTATGAAGTAGTTCTTGATATGATTAAGTTCCTATTTACTAGTTTCACCTTTACATGTTTTAATTAGAATTAATTACTTTCAGGATTCACTCTTATTGCCTATTGGACTCTTATTTGACTTAACTGAAGATTTTTTTTACCTTCTCTATTGTCATGCTATCTTTTCATAACTGCTTATCTTTATTTGAAATTATTATTATCTCATCTTATGATTTGTTTAGTCTTAATTGAGGTTATGATTATCTTTCCGCTGCTTATCCTTAATTAAATTGTTGAAAATCCTTAGTAATTTCTCAACCTTAAAAGAAGTTTTAGATATTCTATATCTTAGTCGACTTGTTTTATTTGGAATTATTTGACTCGTGTTAGTTTCCATGTTGTTAAAATGTATATTGTGGGGTCGTTGATACACATTAGTTTCCCTTTATTGAGTTGTTCTCTTTACGCCTAGCATTATTTACTGTGGTTATTCTTTGTGATTTGGTCCCACATTTTCCTGTGATTTTAAAAGTTCTTGAATTGATTTACTTGTCATACTTTGTATTATTTCCATTGTTGTTGTTGTATTTCTTGTGGTGATGCACGAGGTTTCTGCCGTGCGGTTGTTATTATTGTGATGCATGAGGTTTCTGCCGTGCGGTTATTGTTATGGGGTTGCACGAGGTTTCTGCCGTGCTATTGTTACTATTGATATTTGCACATGCGGCATGACAAGGTGGGATATATATATATATATGGGTTGCGCATGTGGCGATACAAGGTGGGAACATTATTATGCACGTGTGGTGAGATAAGGCAGGCATTTATGTTACTATTGCACACATGGCAAGACAAGGTGGGCTGTGTCAGGGATTGATTTGTGATGATTTATGGCCCGGGAGCATTCTTGTTGTTGATATTTGTGTAGTGGTATACGTACCTGTGTGAGCTTGATCTTGTGAAAGCTGTGAGAAAATATTTTACGTGTTGTCCGTTCTTCTTCTTCCTTATGCTTATTTGCT